AGATATATACAAGAGTTGTTACATTCTTGTACAGCCTCTAGTACGCGTAGCGTTTCGGGCAAGTCCTTAATCCTATGGTCCCTGGAATACGATCCCCTGCCGCGAAGAACTTTTTTTCATCCAAGTACACATTTTACTGTTGCGTTAAACAGAGGCTACAGTTAAGGAATTGCGCCCAGTAAATCCTCCCCGGCCAGGATACGAACCCATGACATAGCGCTCGCGGAACGCCAGGCGAGTGTCTTACCACTACACCACGGAGACTGTTTTAAGAATTCTTTTCTAGTCAGTATACCACCATATAAAAGCCAAGTACGTACGAATGCTCGACTTAACGATGGTCACAATAGGTACCATCTAATCATCAGGAGGACGGGTTGGCTTTAGTACGAGTCTTATCGTTTCGTCTCTTTCGTCAAGGGGAGTGGCAGGACCTGAGCAGACCTGACAGTGAGGTCGGCCGAGGCACCGCTGTGACGCGCATCTTAGAGGGTTTGGTCCACCTGGCGTGTTGAAGGGGAGGGGGGTGGGGGTACAGCAGTACGGAGCAAGTAAGTGAGGGGGAGGACCACCATTGTGGATGTGTGGTGGAGAAAGGGAAGAAGGAAAGGGTAAATCAGATGTGATAAGGAAAAGGAGCACTGCAATCGTTATCCGTCAAGAGCATCGTATGTGGTTCAAGTTCAATTATGTTTATCGAGACAAAAATATACATTTCAAAGTGATAGAGGGGGGGGGGGGTAGAAATAGCTTAAGTACCAGTAATACACCTAGGTGGTACTGGAGCGCCAGCTGGGAGTAATTACACTGGCCTCCAGCTGGTCCCAGGAGGGCGTGGACCGTACAAGATGCACTACTATTCATCCTGCGGCTTCATACGTATTGGAATGGCATTTGCCTATCAGTACTTGCCCATCAGTGACTACGGGGGAAGCGAGGTTAGTTATGCCCCGCCTACTACCCTGTTTTGTCTAGTTGCATCATAACTATTCTGACGCTCGAATTATTTGACAGTTGTGGGTGGTGGCGGCTTCCACAAAAACTTTCAGCGTTTTCCACTTGACCACCCATACTGGTTAAGAGTTCACACATTTTGACCAGACCACACACTAGAAATTGAAGGGACGACGACGTTTCGGTCCGTCCTGGACCATTCTCAAGTCGATTGATTGATACATACTTCAGCCACGTTATTGTGACTCATCGCCTTCACACATTTTTTTCGACTTATTTCTCCAGATAGTACTTTTGTCTGGTTCGTTCTCTATTCTAAATTGGGAATGCTGGGTTCGAATCCCAGGCAGGACAAAAGTGGTTGGGTGGGTTTGCCATCACCATTGCACCTGTTCACGTAGCAGTAAATAGGTATCCAAGAGTTGGCTTGTTGTGGGATTGCATCCTGGGGAGCGATAGACTAGACCTTGTGGGCCGGGGACCTTGATACAAGCTGTGTATAAACAGTAGGTACCCGTCCCGACACAGACATATTTCCTTGCGTTAAAGAGGCTGTGCACCTTGTCAATTCCCGTCAGTATATTATGTAGCGATCATGTCCCCTAGGTTTCTCTCCATGCTGACTTCCGACTCTGGGAAGGGAAAGCTCTCTGCTTGGTAACAATAGTTCATGAGCCTTGCTTTCCATGTAACTAACGTCAAAGATAAGGACAAGTCTTCCCAAGGAACGTTTTTTATAAACTCGCGTCTAGCCCCTTCACATTACTTCAGATGAAAGATTTACTAAAGTTGAAAAATGCAGTAGACTTACTAGGGTATAGGAGGCAGGTAACATCTACTCCAAAATCTATTCAATTACCTGCAGTTTTAGTACTTAAATTGTGAGCCCCGATAATGTAGCTTTTAATTATTCCATTTGCGTACATCTCTCGTGTATTGTCAATTTGTCTATCATTTGTAAATTTAACTTCTTGCCATCGTTATATTCTAGCCTGGTTTGATACCTGGCTTGTGTCACTTGGTAAATGCCTTTTGTGACGCAAGCGTCAATCATTTATTGCCTTGTGACAATGGCAAGCAGAGACTTACCTGGCCCAGGAGCGGGACCAAGTCCACTACGGGCTCACCACAGCCCGTGCTACTTGGAACGTTTTGTTCCGCGTAGCTGAACCTAAAAACCAGAACGGCAAGCAGGATGTAGTGGTTGGTGGTGTGGGCACTAGGCGACCCGTGTACACCCCGTTATGCAGTATTCAACTCTGGGCAAGCTACAGCGGTCAGGTTAACAGAACAGTTTAGGTCGTTTATGCAAGGCGAAGACCCTTTCACACTACTAATTTCATTAGTTGTACCATCGTACATATATTTACGTAATTGACAATTAGACAAGAGAATTTGATACTCTTTACAGTCCGGAAAAATAAAGCTAAAAATCAAATATTACCTAAGCCTAGATATCAAGTGTAATATATTAGGCCTCAAAGCATGTATTAGGCCTAGGATAGTTAGGGCAGTTTCATTAACAAATACAAAACCTTTCAAGTTTGTCCAAATTCTACTTTCTAATTGTCCATGACGTCAATATGTACGATGTTCACATAGTTACTATACGTACTATAAACAGGAGGTTGGCCAATCTTATTGCCAGTTACGTCAATTATCGAAATTGTATATTTATAATTCGAATCTACACAAACTTTGTACAATTGAAAGGAACCAAACTGACCAAAAGCAATATTTTTCTAGAAACACCAACATGGATTTGGACAAGGAAAATCCTGATTTTCAGTCCTACAATATATCTTTAAATTAATGAGTTGACTGCTTGCATGTCCCTCCATTCTCAGGAAACATTAATAACTTAATAACGTAAATTCTTTAATAAGAATTTAGTGGTCAAGCTCGATTGATAAAAATTAAGCCACCCAAAAGGTGGCACGGTGGCCCGTAAGTGGTGGCCCTTTTGAGCCATTACCAGTATCAAGAGCTGATACTGGAGATCTGTGGATGTGCAACTGCACCCTGCGTGACGGGAGATTCCTCCCGTGGGTCAAGCTCAAGATAAAACTATATACAAGGAACAGAATGGCAAGGTGAGAAGGGCAAGGTCTAGAGAAGACAGAAGGGCAAGGTCGGGGGGAGGGGCAGCCAAGGGGGTGAGAAGGGAAAGGGAGCGGAGGGGCCAAAGGGGGGCCGAGAGATGGGAAAGGAAGGTTCACTGCTAGTGCTTGATTTGCTTGTCACTGTTCACAGGAGTGGGTGGTGACCGCGGGCGGTGGAACTACCCGGTGCTGGCGTTGGAGGGGGGGGGGGGGGTGTATAGTAGGTGAAGGTGTCACTCATAGCCAGCGACGTGGGCAAGGAACGTCAAGCCAACAATCCGAGGGTAAACGATCGAAGCCAGGGGACAAGTCCAACAACTTTAGAAATATGCGAACGAATTACATTACGCCCATTATATCTTTACTTTCGCTTAAACAGTTTCAAGCATGACCAACTTGTTCACACAAGCCAACACCGAACAGGTGTACCAAGAGTCCAGCGGTATAAGCCCTCAGCGCACACCGAGCCTGTATGGCCCTGCATATAATAGGTCCACACAGGGGTTCCTTGGGTTGGAGACCTCGGAGCTTCAACCTGCATTGTGTACGCACACCTCGTCCGCTCCCCCCCCCACCACCACCCTCCGGAGGGTGCCCAGAACACCGGTTGTGCGCTCGTTCCTGCTGCGCTTGCCGCGTCACCATTACTCTTGATTCAACACATTCAATTTCACTGCATTCCAGTCGTGGGGCTCTCTTCACATGACCTAATATGGGACATCTTATGCTTGGGGTGATCATGAATGACTGTCGGGTCTTGTAGTTTAAATCATCTAATACCTATGTCCTGGTTAGATTTTTTTTTTTTTTGGGGGGGGGACCGTCACACATTGGAGGTATTTAAGATTAAAATAAATTAACCATCAAGTTGATGTAATCTTCAGCAGTTAAATGTGTAGACAGGACGAGCACACGAGTGGCAGTTCGGCTATGGGAATCTAGATGAAGTGTAAAGTGTGTGGACAATGACAATATATCCGACTAGTAAAATGAAGTCATTTTTAGATATGTAAACTAATGGATGATATGGTAAACCATTTTCTTATTAATGGATAAAATACCCGAAATCCTGCACTGTATCCATATTTTGCTTCCAGTAGAATAACGACTTACGAGATCAAGAAAAACAGTAGTGTATTGTGAAGAATAATAATCGTTGACCAGCTGCGCAATATGGAGTGCGGCTATTCATCCCATTTTAGTAGACAACATTCCATATACTAAAGACGCTGGTGCAAGAATGTAGTCTATAGTACAGTGCTCACAACAGGCCTCAGGACCGGTTACCCACACAGTAAGCACTTAAGAGATTCAGAGAGAGGACATAGGGGCACAGACCCCAACAGAACACAGGCGTCCGTTCTTAAACAGAAGAGGTGAACATTACCTTCCTCGTAGCCAGGCCACAGTGTCGAGGAGCGCCCGTGACACCCTGGGACATCCCGGGCCAGTCTCCGGCACCCACACCTTCCCCATGCCTTTGTTCCCTGTAGACTAAGGCCGTGTCAAGAAACACGCGTGCAAGCAGGAGTTACTTCGGTGAAAGTTACATAGAGAGAAAGTGGAAGAGAAAGCCGGTTGCAAGCGCGCACAGTATGACAAGTTCTTGCTGAAACCTGGCTTGGTCGACTGACAGTACAGTGTACTGACACATCTCCTTAAGTTACCCACGGAGCCTTGTATCAGATCACTTCCCAAAGGCACTCCAGCAGTGTATAATACTGCCAGATTACAAACCTTAAACCACGTCACTTAAGCGCATCATAGCCTAGTACTAGACTATTCAAGCTATACACATAAATATATGTATGTGTTAGATATATACGTATACACATGATTGATATATATATATTAAACTACGATTATTGTATTTCAGTAAATGGTTACAGTGCCTCTAACCAAGCAGCGTTGCCACTCGCCTCTTGAACAATTAACACCACTTGCCTAGGTAAGGTTGGAGTGGAGAGTGTATGGGTGGGTGACCTGGACTAGAGGACCTGGAGGACACAGGGCACGTGTTGCCACCCGGACTCGTCCTCAGTGACTGGTCGACCTCGCCCCCTCCACCTCCCTCGCTACGCTCGCCTCCCGCACATAATTTCCCCGCACGGTCAACTAGGCTTAGGCTGTTTTTCTCCCAACAATGACAGAATATATCTTCTCACTGTAAGTATCATATATATACGTACAGTAAATTATCATATTAGGCTATACTTTCTGTTGCATAAGTTTAATAATGCTTACTGGGTAAATAATTTAAAGTCAATTATTTGCAAACATGTCAACTCAACCATGCAACAACCGTTGCAATAATGAAATAGCATTTCACCTTTTTTTAAAGTTCGCAGTTTACCGTGAATATTGACTATATAAAGCTAATTATACATAAAATAAATATAAAAACAAATGAAAGTGAAATAACTATATCGATGAAACAGAGAAACAGACATTATTAATTGGCATGTTGGGTGTGGAGGAGCGCTGGAGCCCTGCCAGGGCGGGGAACTTCCCCGCACATGACTCGAGCGGTTCCCCAACGCTGGAAACCGGAGTGGTTCTGATGCCCATTTTCTGTATAACGTTCCCGGATACCATTTTTTTTAGCGGTTATTAGGATAGACGCAAGTAAAATGAAGGCTAAACCTATACAGTACCTATATTTACATGAGGACTACTAACACCCTAGTGGCCGTGACGAGGACAGGAAGCCGGCGGCTTGACAAAGGTCCCACCCCCAATTTGTCCTGATGATTATTTCCAGTTGCATTTTAAAATTCAACGGGTTTCAGTAATTTAACATATTCTAGTACTAGCTAGAGTACTAGCCATATGTACTTTCCGTTTATCATTAGTGTGTGCTAGCTCACACACTACTGTGTGCTAGCTCACACACTACTGTGTGCTAGCTCACACACTACTGTGTGCTAGCTCACACACTACTGTGTGCTAGCTCACACACACTACTGTGTGCTAGCTCACACACACTACTGTGTGCTAGCACACACACACTACTGTGTGCTAGCTCACACACTACTGTGTGCTAGCTCACACACACTACTGTGTGCTAGTTCACACACTACTGTGTGATAGCTCACACACTACTGTGTGCTAGCTCACACACACTACGGTGTACTAGCTCACACACACTACTGTGTGCTAGCTGTAAAATGTAAAGAAATTTGTTTTTTACAAAATAAGTCATTTAATAAACACCTTAATTAGTGAGTGTAAATGAAGAGATCTGAGAGTAACAATGACAAGCGATGTAAATAAAGCCTATAGTAAGCTGAGTTCTGAACCTGTAAAGTAGCCTCTGTAAACTCTATAAAGTAGCATCTGTAAACTCTGTTAAGTAGCCTCTGTAAACTCTGTTAAGTAGCCTCTGTAAACTCTGTTAAGTAGCCTCTGTAAACTCTGTAAAGTAGCCACTGTAAACTAAGGCTTCACTGGAGGATCTCGCGCGCTCCAGTCGTGAAAGTCATCCTGACTGAGAGACTCCAGCTCTGGGGTCGGGTTCGCAGTCTTGGTGATAATATTTGAAGACCGACGCTGACGCAGGGGAGCGCTCCGTGGCCTAGGATACCAACTCCATGACACATCATCAAACACATTTTGACATAGCTGAATTTATTCAGTTTTGTAAGGAGAGAGCAAAGGCCACAAACTAGTTATATAGGATGGCTTGGACTTTTTTTTTCACGGGAAGTTCACGGGATGGGTATGGGAGGTCCAATACCGCCCATAGGATGGGTATGGGGTCCAATACCACCCACGGGATGGGTATGGGGGTCGAATACCGCCCACGGGATGAGAATGGGGTCCAATACCGCCCATAGGATACGTATGGGGTCCAGTACCGCCCACGGGATAGGTAAGGGGTCCAATACCGCCCATGAGATGGGAATGGGGTCCAATACCGCCCATGGGATGGGAATGGGGTCCAATACCGCCCATGAGATGGGAATGGGGTCCAATACCGCCCATGGGATGGGAATGGGGTCCAATACCGCCCATGAGATGGGTATGGGGGTCCAATACCGCCCACGGGATGGGTATGGGGGTTCAATACCGCCCACGGGATGGGTATGGGGGTTCAATACCGCCACGGGATGGGTATGGGGGTCCAATACCGCCCACGGGATGGGTATGGGGGTTCAATACCGCCCACGGGATGGGTATGGGGGTTCAATACCGCCCACGGGATGGGTATGGGGGTCCAATACCGCCCACGGGATGAGAATGGGGTCCAATATACCGCCCATAGGATGGGTATGGGGTCCAGTACCGCTCACGGGATGAGTATGGGATCTATTACCGCTCACGGGATAGGTATAAGGGGTCCAATACCGCCCATGGGATGGGAATGGGGTTCAATACCGCCCACTGGATGGGTATGGTGGTGTATAAATCAATCAGCCCGTCCTCTCGAGCGTTCACAACGTCAATGAATTGATGTACTAAATTGCCCAAACCTAACCCACCCGAGGACCCACGAATAGAAAACGGGACATCACGTCAATTTTTGTCCTTAGGGGATTTATACATCAAAATTAGATGCTCTATTAGAGAAGACCGGTTGAATAAATATAGTCAATTAAGATTATCAAAGTCCATGACATTCATGACAGAAATAATTTAATGCCTAACTAACACGTATTAACGGTATTGATAAATACAAGAAAATGATTTCCAACGAAGCCAGATCTGTAAACAAGTAACAAAGGTGTGCAACAGCTGGCGACGTGACAAGGAGTTATACCGTTTATACATTTACAAGTAAATGATAAAAGTGGTTCTCCTCAAATCAGAGCTTTACAGTGTTGTACCCTCCGTAAACAAGCAGCCTAATTTGCATGAGGCTCTCGACCTGTGCGCTAACTCTCACTCTGCCGGTCTCCTGATGACAGTCATGGCGCTAGACTGTCATCGCGCACTCTGGCTTCATGTTCTCCTTAAAAGGGAGAGTTCTAAAATGAATCATTATTATGCCACTGCGTTCAGAGCCATATTTCGTGCACGTTCTCCCTATGTATCCATTCCAGTATATTATCGTCGCTCTCTCAGACCAAAGCTCTAGTGGTATGGGAACGTCTAGTACAACTGTGTATGGGAACGTTTAGTACAACTGTGTAGGGGAACGTCTAGTACAACTGTGTAGGAGAACGTCTAGTACAACTGTGTATGGAAACGTCTAGTAGAACTGTGTAGGGGAACGTCTAGTACAACGTGTAGGAGAACGTCGTGAACGCTTCCTTTATACTGTTTTAAATTTAAATTTTGCCCCGAGGGGCGAGTTTATTGGGCAACGCCACTCATCTTGTGAGTGGACACACCGCCATAGCAGCATGTACAACACTCCCCAATAGGAAGAAAACCCGCTGGGCTGTTCATCCTGCCACTTGTACCCAGACACAGCTGGGACTTGCTTAACTGTCTCAAGTGAACAGCTCCTCAAACAAGAAGATTAACATCTATCAACCCTTAAAAGCTTACGTTATCTTGCGGGTCCTTTTTATACTGTTTCAGGCCGTTTGTAAAATATGATCAAGTTCGTATATTACTTATAAGTACGTTCATAGACACTTCATTTGCCTGAATAATCACAGCCCCGCTCCTGTGCCAGGTAAGTCCACTCCGGGCTCACCATAGCCCGTGCTACTTGGAACTTTTTGTTCCGTGTGGCTGAAGCTAAAACAACAACAACAATAGCCTCAATAATGAGAATGAAAGCGTGAGTTGAGTGAATATAAAAACCTTGGCAACGCTGTCTGCTGGAACAGTATTGCCGACTAGCAGATCTAGCTGTGGATTTCCTGAACTAACATTTAGCTGAATATTTCCTTAAAAGCAGGATAAATGTGCCACACTCTTGCACGGATGAGCTTTGATATCTTTCTACAATCTGCGAATTACAGCGTATACTTGTATTTGCTTATTAATGCTGATAAAAAGTGTCTTTAGCCAGGCAATGTTGCCAACCCGTGAGCCTCTGGCGATGGTGACGTAGAGTTGCAACCTGTTGCCAACGACAGAGCGCAATAATATGCCTCAAGTGTGATAGTGTGAAGCACAGCCCGAGGACAGTATGAACGCTCACTGTTCACGGGGGTTCTGGACTGTTCACGGCTAATTTATATGCTGCAAGACCGTGTACTTAATTTATTGTACCGTAATTCTACCGTACGCCTTAATTTAAGCAATCGTTTTGAACTGTTGTAGGTGGTAAATATTTCCACCGTCATCATCTATGTTGGCTTTGATGCAATATTTACGATATTGAACATTTAGGGTGAACAGTTCTGTCAAGTGTACTTGCCTATTAGTGACTATATGGGGGGGGGGGGGAGTGAGCTGTAGCTCTTTATGCCCCCGCCTATACTAGCCTTATACCTGTTGCGTTTCACTTGAACTATTCTGACGTTTAATTACTTTGTGGGATCTAGCCTCAAAGTTGTGGATGAAGGTGGCTACCACAACTTCTTTAAGAGGATTTCACGTTAACTACCCGTGCAGGGTAATTAGAGTACTTCCTTATGTTCCTTCGGCTCATTTGCGCTTCCAGCTTTCACCAGTGTTGTGTATGTGTTTACTATTTGTATTTTGCTATTTGTGCCTGCAGGATGGAGTTGCTAGCTCTTGGTCCCCGCCTTTCTAAACGTCGTTTCTCTATCTTCTATTAACTATCTATCTGTTTTAAGGCCTATCAACCTGGGTAGGATTTTTAGTGTAACCACAATATCTTCTGTAAACTATTCTTAAAGATGACATGTAATAAGGTCAGAACCATTTGTTTTCTAGGTCTGATTTTAGTTATACATTATATACTTATGTAATTTATTTATGTAGTATAAATAAAACAAAACCTGCCATTAATGTGCTGTATTGTTTGATTTATTATTTTTTACATTTTTTTTGTTAAATCTGGCATGCTACATTTGTCAATATAAAGCTGAATATCGAATTACAAGGTGAATTATATTCTCTCTTGTAGTATCGATTATATGGCTCCTGCAGGATCAAATATGGCTCCTGTAGGATCAAATATGGCTCCTGCAGGATCAAATATGGCTCCTGTAGGATCAAATATGGC